ATAATATATATATATATATATCAAAAACATGATTGTAATTTATATCTTGATAATTATTATCAGAGAAAAAGAGAGGGATTTATTATATCAATAGTTTTTATATGACTATTTGTAAGTCGATTTGACAAAGCAGTCCTACAAATTATTCCCTTCGCAATTAATTGGCATGAAATGGTATCTAGTTTTCCATAATTGTAGCTTCCCACACAGTTGTAATACCTCAGCATAATAGTGCATTTATCCCCGTATATAATGATGATTTCGAAGATACCCATTGAAATTGGCAAGGATTCCATCATACTGCCACAGATTGCGACCCCAATTACGGGTCGGATAAGATACGCGATTGAACGGGATAGGTAGAGAAACATGGCTTTTCCAATATAATATGACCTTCCTTACAGTTTTCACGAGAAAACTCTCATTCGAATTCTCTATCGAGTTAAAAAGAACGTTTCTTCTAAAATTTTCACTAAAAATAATTTCCAAATTGTTTTCGGAAATAAATACTAATGCAGTGCTTTTAATATTTCGACATCTAATCTTTATATGTAACAACTATCTTATATAATTGTTTTTAAAACACGTATCTTAATAATTTTAAAAATGTATCAATATATCTCTTTTTATTTAGTATAAAAAGATCCTAGTTTTATAAACACGCAATAAGGGAATAATTAATATAAATGTATTTCGAGAATGTCTTGAGACACTAGAAAAACAAACATTGAATTCAGTTAATCTAATCTGTAAAACTTTATTTCTGTTTCAGCTGTTAAGTTCAATCGTGGTAGTCGGCGGAACAAACGTAGCCGGCGCCTTAACACATCACCCTCGAGAATTGGCGCAAAGACAGGCATTCCTCGAAACCCGACAATGCGTTGAAGCACGTCTGACCACGCAGCGGGAGAATCAGCAACAGGTACGTTGCTGCATTCACGAAAAACTTTTATAAATGCATGTCCAAATTACCAATTACTAATTTTTTATTTAAGTAGTTAATAATATTGTATTAATATCGTAAAAAAATCAAGTCGTTGCGCTGCAAAAAAATTCTAGAAAATGTACTCATTTTTCGAGTTTTCAAACGGATATGCCCCCTTAAGGAATGTGATTTGTATCAAAGTTACATTAAAGAAAATAAACTCTAAATATAACGCGCGCTTTTAATAAATATAATTCAAAACAAAGTTACTGAGAAGTTATTATTAGTAAGCCAAGAAAAATTGAAAGCCATAAAAGCAAAAGAAAATATTTCAAAAGATTTCTAAGTCTTTTGAAAAAGGAAATTGAAAAATATTAGCCGAAAGGTCAACGATAAATTTATTTATCGATACGAGGAAAAAAAAAACGAATAAAATCATGATAGATCACGTAAAGATTGATCCAGGAAAATTTAATTTTGTATTTGTAGCTGAAGAAAGTAATTTATCTCTTATTCAGAGACATTATACGCTATCTATATTAAAGATATCTCTCAATACACAAGACTTCGTAAATCGCAACGGTCAAAGAACATGACTTATCTATTGTTTCTTAATAAAGATCCATATATTATATTACTACAATGTTTTGGGGTAAGTATCGTTATATACACATTTAATGAAAATTTTATAAAAAAATAAACATTTAATATAAAGATCTTCATGTTCGGTCAAATATTATATATATTGCGAGATGGCATTGCCATATGCCATGCTTATAAAAAGAAAATGCGCGTTTTAAAATAAGACAAAACTCAAAACAAAGTTACTGAGAAATTATTATTAGTGAGCCAAGAAAAATTGAGAAATTGTTACACATCTAGAAATGTCGCGATAATAATAACCTAATGAAATCTATTTAAACATCAGCTCCTTTTATAATGAAGAGAAATAGTGATTATTATCTTATTCCTCTGGGACATCATCCTACTGAAATCTCCAATAATTGATATCTTTATCAATTATTAATAATACCATCACGCAAACCGCAACCACAAGAGCACATGAATATATGAAGATCCTTGAGTTCTATACTTAGAAACTACAAACCACCTAAACATTTGAATGAAAAAGCATATTCTCAAAAATCCTTAATTGCAGGAATAATTAACATACAATTCTATTCTAAATTTAAGTCAACAAAAATTTTGAAGAAGCTTTCATAACAAAAATAATTTGCTAAATATATTTTTAATTATTTTGACAAGTCCAGGAAAACACATCGCACACGTTTCTAGAAAGAACAAATCTCAAATGAAATCAGTAAATATTAGTAAAAAATTATAAAATTGATTAAATTATGGGATTTGATTCTCTCAAGTACTCATCGCATTACATTTATATAATTTACTTATAAATCAAATTCATATAATTAAAAAGTATTGTGTCGCGGCAGTATCTTGTCAAAATGCTGTAAAATCATTTTATCTTAATAACTTGAATTGCAGCAAACGAAAAGCATTAATAAATAGCGAAAAAAAACTCGGAGAAAAAAAATTTCTTTTCATTGTGATAACCTTCTTACAGTGATGCAAGATATGACGTTTATAATTTCCATATTGGAAAATGTTAACTAAAGGCGGCTTTAAGAAAATGCGCTGAATAAAAATCGCAACAGCGAGATTTCGCGAATCCTCGGATGGAATACTTTTTAAACGCTTTCGACGAACGAGTTGTAAAAATTACAACGAACGAAGATCGATTAAAATACGTCAGATACTCAACGGCACAATATCCGGCACAAATTCAATCAACTCGAAGATGAAAACGCGCCACTGCGATTTTGTGATTCGCGTATATCTCGTTACCGGACATGTGATTAAAAATCTCTCTCGCATAAAAGATGTAGAAGCAACAACGATTCGATTTCGGCTTTCATTCGGGAATTCAAAAGGAATTCACCGATAGAATATTCTCCATAAGCGACTTTCGTCGCGAGTAGATGTATATATAGGATTTATTCTCAGAAAGTATAAGTTCCTTTATCCGTAAATTTTTTAATAAGTGTCTACGATCAAATTTTATATCTCATCGACCTGCGGCAATTTTATAAATAATCTTACATCATATAAAGTTATATTACAATACTAAAATTATTGATAATGCATGATATTAAATATAAATCTCTTTTAACTCAGCAAATGTGACGATTTAACGTTATGTCGTTTTTAAATATATAAAAAATATATCTTTGCGTTACACAATGCGTTATAGTTGAACGTACAACGTTCAATGTGCGTCTACATTTCTGCTCAAGAAATGGAAATAAATAATTTGCATCAGTATATTTTCCGTGAATTGTTCCTCTCGCGCACAATCAACGGCGAATTGACGAGAAGCAACATTTTATAAAATTATTACGTCGCAAAAAGAGGTAGTTTATTTTAACAGTAACACACTGAATCGAAAACTGCACCCTTCAATAGGTCATTGTTCGATTCTTGAATGAGCGCGCTTATTATCGTTAATGATTTTCGTGAAAACTTTATTTTGCCAGAGTGCGTTGAACGATATTAATAATATAATATAATTATGGCAAAATTGTTAATTATTTTACAATATCGTGAACTCGACAATCGCGCGCGCGCCCACTGTACTTCACTGATGCTAATACAAACTTGGCACCGCGCGTATTAAAACAATATTGCGTGTGCATTCGAAAGCACGTGAATTCGCTCCGAGAACACGACCGGTCGGCCAACAAAGCCATGGTGAATTTATTTTGCGTGAACGTGTTGCCTAGCAGTCGAAAAATAATGGACGCGTTATTTACGCAAGACTTGAATAAAACAGACCGATTGTTCATTAACTATTTGTTCTGCTTCAATATATTTTTGGTGCGTTGTACTAAAGCAACACACACACACATACACACAGACACATACACACTCTCTCTCTCTCTTTCTTTTTTTATCATTGTTTAAATAAATTTAAAAAAAAAACAACAAAATATACTTCAATCAAATAATGTTTTTGTCGATAATCAAATATAATAAACAAAGAATCCCAACTTTATTATTTTTCATTACGACATGTCTGTAAATATATCTTCCTAATATTTATTATTTGTATTTTTTATATTTTCATTTATTTTGTTGAAATGCATTCTAATATAACTAACGTTAAAAAATCTTGTAAAATTTACGTTATAATGTAAATGTTACCAAATAAATTTAATTTTTTTCAAAATGCATATTCATTCACTTTTATATATAACTCTCACTGTATATTTAGTGTTCAAAATATCGCCATCACGTGACAGATACACAATCGGAATTCTCCGAAGTCGATTTATTTCAAGCGAGGCACGAAAATAACTGAAATCGAAATAATTGCCGGAAAGCGACGAGAACCTATTAAAGCTAGCGTCTTATCGTGCATCGCTCATAACCACGATAAGCCAACGACGGGATGGCTTTATGCTATTAATTAGAAATCTGTGATCTGTCGCGATATCTACCTGCCATTATTCGCGTCTGCCCGTCGATCGCCCACAATCATTCAATATATGCGACAACATCGAACGTGCATGCATGCCCGTTTAACGACGGACAATGTGCACCGAAACGCGCGCGTGTCTATATTCCTGTCTCTTCTCATCCAACGATATTGATGAGATCAATTCTAGAAGAGAAGGACGCCAAAATAACACCAGAAAATAACCCATTTCCAGAATTAAAAAAAGTTTCTAACAAAAAATTCTTAAATGAAAATCTTATTAAATTAAAATCCATTCACTCCACTTAATTTCACTTAAAAAAAATTATACTGTATAAAGATTTTTTGGATAAAGTTCCGAATAGGTGAACCCTCCGATTTTTTTGAAACTACACTATTTTTTGTATTTTTTAACGCTGATTACAAATGTGATAATGAAAATTTGCGACAAGGTCATTTTCAAGGTCAAAACAAAAAAACTGAAAAAATATAACTTTTTAGACATTATTTTAATAAATATTGATGTAACAAAAAAATGTTTCAAATAAAGGTTGCAGTTCTTAAAAAAATACATTATTTATGTTCTATAAATTTTTTGCGTGAAACTGAAAGTTTTCGAGAAAATCGATATTAAAGACTAAAAACGGCGGGTGAAGTTCCGAAAAACTAGACAAATAGGTTTGCGTGGAACCTCGCTCTGCGTGGAAAGTTGTAAACCCATGTGGAATCGTATATGTACTGCAAAGTACATGCTTAGATGGGAGAACAGATATAAGATTTAGATTCCATCGTTTTTGTTGAAAACTATCGTACGGTAAAAATTAATAGGACATAAAATGTTTTTCTCTGTAAGATCTAAAATTGTTATGGGTTTTTCATGATTTTCACTATGAAAATAAGAGATGCACCAATTTTCATTATGATATTCGTAATCAGTGCATCAAAATACGTAAGAATACTGAGTTTCAAAAAAAATCAGAGGTGAGCACTGTTCGGAACTTCACCCGCCGTTTTTAGTCTTTAACATCGATTTTCTCGAAAACTTTCAGTTTCACGCAAAAAATTTATAGAACATAAATAATGTATTTTTTTAAGAACTGCAACCTTTATTTGAAACATTTTTTTGTTACATCAATATTTATTGAAATAATGTCTAAAAAGTTATATTTTTTCAGTTTTTTTGAGTTTTGACCTTGAAAATGACCTTGTCGCAAATTTTCATTATCACATTTGTAATCAGCGTTAAAAAATACAAAAAATAGTGTAGTTTCAAAAAAATCAGAGGGTTCACCTATTCGGAACTCCACCCAAATATTTCAGTAATCTATAAATTGCCACTGATTATAAAATTTGTAAAAATAGTGTTACATATAAATATTAAACGTGAACTAGATAAAATAAATCAATTAGCGAAACAAAGAGAACAATGTTGGCGGGAAAGAAATACGATTATTTAAAATATGATATTTTGAATGAAAAACTGTCTAATTGGTTGCTAGAGCAGAATGAATTGGGATACACAATTTCCGATAGGCAGCTTAGAACTAAAACAGATAAATTCGCGAATGATTTTGGTGGACCATCAGCATCTACCGCACGAGAAAATTGGCTGCAAAACTTTAAGAAGCATCATGAGACTTTTTTAATGTCTCTTAATATGCCTGAGAGTTCGCAAAATTTCGTGCAAAAGAATGAGAAAGCCGAGTTACATAAATCAGCTGAAACATTTATTCAAGAATTCACTCTTAAAAAGAAAGAAAAGAACACACATATATATTTTACATTGTACAGATAAAAGATCAAAAAACACATATGTCATTTATAAGAATGCTACTAATAATTATACCTTGTTGCACATAACATACTATATCATTCTTGGTGAGAATAATGTAGTACAGTTGATGGCTGAAAATTGTTGACATTTATGTAGATATGGAAACATAATAGTTTTCTTCAATTTGTCTTCGATTTTTATGTCATATCCACGATGCAACCCAATGATTACACCGTAATGATTATCAAGAGAGAAAGAATCTTTGTATGTATGCGTTACGATCATTCCAACGGCAAATTTAACATCATTTGTCCTTCTTTTTAATGATTCCTCTACTGCGTTAGATCTAACCTATGGAAACATAATATTATATTCAATCGATTTCTTGTTACACAAGCAATTGTTAAAATAATGTAATGATTTAGTTATAAATAATAATAATTAATGTAATCTTTTTATATATTGATATATGAATACATTAAATTACATTATACGATGTGTTATAACTTACCTCTATTGTATTTGTAATATTTTTGTATTCAATTTCAATATTTATGTTCTCAATATCTTCCATAATAAATTCATATTCGTAAGTCACAAAGAAATGTTTATAAAGATATGTTATATCAAAAATTCTCATGATGATTTCTATTCCCTAAAGAAAAAAATATATAAAGAAAATCTTGGTTACAGACAAAAGATAAAAAGAAGTTCATCGCTTTCACTCATTTATTTAAAATGTATCGAGACTCATTGAAATAACGTGTTATTTATAAGACATAATTGAGTGATATTTTTATTAAATACTTAAAATTAAATATAAATAATTACCTTAATCATAATATCATTTGATGAAGTCAGTAGAAATTCATTATCTTGGAACCTCCCTCTGATAATGTTCGATGGATAAAGTAGATTGGACTTGTAGCTCATATAAAAGAATTCTGCATTA